TTTTCTTTTTTTTTTTTTTTTTTTTTTTAATTAGAAAGACAATGAGCACATTTCAAACATCGACTCTTCATACCTGGAGTCTCTTTTTCTATCCTGTCCCAGGGGAATTGTGCCATTTCAGGCGGGTTCACAAAACTACGAGCTCAGCTTCCAAGGTAAGTCTTTGTGTTTGGCAGTGGTGCCTGTTGCTGGAATCCGGCCTGTGGCATCCGCGTGGGCGTGGGAATGGAGTAGCCCGGCGTGCTGCGCTCAGGACCCGGGTTCTTTTTAGCAAGGCAGGCAGTTCAGTGGGTGGGAGCCAGTGGAGGTCAGAAGACCTGTCCTCTGGAGCCTCGGCTCTGACGCAGAGTAGCTGGGACAGCACTGAGCACCCTGTAAAATGGGGGCATTGGATTACGTGGTCTCTGGGGGGTACTTCCGGCTCTGCCATTCTTAATTTCTGACTCTAGGTGGGCTGCTTCCCAGACTGAGGCAGAATTTTCAGGTGCCGATGATTGCAGTAGAGACCTTGGCCCTGTGGGTGCCTTCTGAGTTTTATTTTATTTTATTCATTTATTTATTTATTTTTAAATTTATTTATTTTATTGTATTTATTTTTGGCTGTGTTGGGTCTCCGTTGCTGTGCATGGGCTTTCTCTAGTTGCGGCGAGCGGTGGCTACTCTTCGTTGCGGCGCACGGGCTCTAGGCGCGCAGCCTTCAGTTTGCAGCCCGCGGACTCACTGTGGGATCTTCACGGACCAGGGCTCGAACCCGTGTCCCCTGCACTGGCAGGTGGATTCTTAACCACTGCGCCACCAGGGAAGTCCCCCTTCTGAATTTTAGAACCTTGCTATTCCTTTTAGGCTTCATCATCTAGGTCAGTGGTTTTATCCATCACCTTTTCTAAAGACTTTGCCTTCCGCCATGTTTATTTGCGCCTCCATAGGAAGATTTTCTGGTTACCTTCTACCCGTCTGTCTGTTGTGTTTAGTAAAAAACCAGGGCAGAAACTGCTCTCCCTCTGAATGTACTGTCCCATCGGCTGCATCCATGGGACACCCCCTGCGTGTGGTCAGATACTTGCCTTTTCAGGACCCAGCCCTATAGGTGCTTTGAAAGAGGTAAAGGAGATTTTGTCAGGTCTTTGACATTCCCAGGTGGTACCTGAGATTTGGGTCCTGTACCAATTATGGTGTGTTAAGTCATATAGCTTTGAAGGGCCATTATACCAATTTCTGTGGAAAGCAACCTGGTAATACATATCAAGAGATATTAAAATATGCTTGCTTTTTTATTTTCTCAGGAACCTTTCTAAGGAAATAATTCACAAGAAAAAAATAAGCTATAGGCATAAAGGTCTCTGTTAAAGCCTTACTTATAGTACTAAAGTAGAGGGATAGCTTGTGTACCAGTAAGGTAGTGACTGAACACATTAAGGTATTAAATTTCAGTGGAGTATTGGGTGGTTGTTAAAAATTATGATTATGAAAACTGTGCAGTAAAAGCAAAATTTGATATTGTTAAATGAAGAAGACAGAACCCCAAGTTTGTATTTCTGTACTTTTTGGGTTTTATGTTATATTTAAAACAGAAATGAATTTTTTAAAAATTTAATGTGCATGATAAGTGCAGCAATGTATGCATGTGGACCAAGACTAGACGGCAATAGAGAAAAATAAAAATCTCCTCTGTTGGGTGGTCAAATTAAAAATGTGCTTAAATTAAAAAAAAAATATTTTGGTGGTATTCTCTGTGGTGAAAGGTGGTGGAGAGATGAGAACCAATATACCTTGTTCCTGAGTCTGAACAATTTTAGCCCCATAATTTTGTTCATTTGGTTCATAGAAACCAGTTCAGGGAAGTTTGCAGTGTTCCAGACTACTTTCTTTCTACTTCTTATTTGCTCTTATTCATTAAACTGGTATTAGAGTGTCAGTTGTGTATTAGGCCCTGTTCTGCATGCTGGCAAACCAGGCAACTTCAGAAAATAATTACAGCTACGGGGAAAATGAAGCAATGTGATGAGGCAGAAAGAGGATGGAGGAATCATGGGAGGGAGGTGCATGCTTTTATCTGAGGAGGAAACTTTGGAAGGGAGGGGACAGCCCATGCACATGGGAAGGAGGTGTGTAAGAGATGAGAGAAGACGTTGAAACTTAAATATTTTATGAGCTGGAAACCTCGAGAAGGTTTTCAGCAGAGCTGTGGCATGATCTGATTTGCTGTTTCTGTCATTGTTTGTTTTGTTGATGTTGATGTAAAACTGTACTGAGGCATAATTGCTGCAATAAGATGCATCCATTTTAAGTGTGCAGTTGGATGAGTGCTGACAAGTGCGTGCAAATACTATTCTAATCAAGATCTAGAACGCTCCCATCAATCCGAAAAGTTTCCTTATGCCCCTTTGCAATCGGTCTCTCGTCTGCAACCAGTTTACTTTGTCACTATAGATTAGTTTTATCTGTTCTAGAATTCCATATACATAGAACCTTGTAGTGTGTACTCTGCATATGGCTCACTTCTCTCAGAATACTGTTTTTCACTCATCTATGTTGTTGCATATAGAGTAGTCCTTCCCTTTTCATTGCTGAGTGATATTCCATTGTAAGGATATACCATGGGGCTTCCCTGGTGGCACAGTGGTTAAGAATCTGCCGGCCAATGCAGGGGACACAGGTTTGAGCCCTGGTCCGGGAAGATCCCACATGCCGTGGAGCGACTAAACCCCTGTGCCACAACTACTGAGCCTGTGCTCTAGAGCCTGTGAGCTACAACTACTGAGCCTGCACGCCTAGAGCCCATGCTCTGCAACAAGAGAAGCCACCGCAATGAGAAGCCCGCGCACAGCAACCAAGAGTAGCCCCTGCTCGCCACAACTAGAGAAAGCCCTCGCTCAGCAACAATGACTCAGCACAGCCAAAGATAAATAAATAAAATAAATTTTTTAAAAAATGGATATACCATGGTTTGTTTAGCCGTTAACCTGTTGATGGGTATTTGGGTTGTTTTCACTTTTTGGTTCTTGTAATAATGCTACTAGGAACATTCAAACGCAAGTTCTCGTGTGGATGTAGCTTTTCATTTCTCTTGGATAAATACTAAGGAGTGGGATTGTTGGATTGCATAGGCAGTGTATGTTTAACTTTATAAGAAACTACCAAATTGTTTTCTAAAGTGGTTGCACCGTTTTATACTTTCACTAGCAATGTACGATGATTTACTTTTTAAAGAGCTCATGCTGGCTGCAGCTTAGACTTAGGTGTACAACATGTGTGAATTGAAAATGACATTTCACATTTGAGGTAGGAAAAAACTTCTAAGATATAGCTACCACATTTCAACCCATAATCGTTGATGCCTGTCATGGGTGACGTAATCTGGCTGCCCTAGCTCTCTTTACCACCTGACTTTGATTTAAAGATTAGATTAATTCAGGAATGCTCATTTACCTCTTTGTTTTCTGGGTCTTATACTAAGGGCAGTGAAGAATACAAGTTTTTATCATGAGTAATTTCCATCCAAAAGGATTTTCTCGATTCACACATGTACAGTTGAGTCATGAATATTTGCTGTGTTACTAGCCTCTGAAAAATAACAATAAATCATTTCCTAGGACTGATTCTTGATTTGTGTTTTCTTTTTTCTGTCTAAAGGGATGATTCAGACAAACATAGCTTCCAAGACCCAAAAGGATATCGTCAGGAGGCCGACGTTTGTGTCTCACTGGGATGTGGAGCAGGTGAAACGTGGACAAGCGTGAGTGTCTGGAACGCTGCTTGCTGGCACACGTTTGAGATGTTAACACGCTGACCTCATTGAGTCGCTCATGAATCTGGACCCTGTTTTCTGAAATGTTCCTGCTCACATAACACTGCAATTTGCTTTTGCTTTAACAATGAGTGAGGTGCTTGCTAAACGGTACAGCGTGACTGAAAGAATTCTGGAGCCGGAAGTCTGTCTTTCCCTCCAATTCCCGGGGGACCTTGGGCAGCTCCTCTTACTCTGGGCTCAGTTTCTTCAGCTGGGAACGGCTGGTTGTTCCCAGGAAAGAATCAAATGCACAATTACTGGGTTTTTGTTTTGCTGTGGGTTCTTCTGGATATCTTTAGTTTTGTTGAGTGGATTTATAAGGGGTGGGAGGCTGAGAAAGAAATGGAGAGAAAAAAGGGATGTGGTAGCTGCCTGAGTAAAGGCTTTAGGGAGAGATAAAGGTGATGAAAGGGGATTTGTAAAGGAAATTTTGCTGTGGGGATTCAGTGTGACGCCTCTGTCTGCTCATGAAACTCAGCCAAACCTACATTGCTCATGAACATTTTTGGAGTTGGATTTATTTTCCTGGGTGATGAGTGATTATGTAAAACAGACGTCAAGGCAGGTGTGAAGTCGGTGCTCTAATTAGGTCCTTTTGGTTGTAAGAATTAAGGTATTCCATGGAAACGGGAAGTTACTAAAGGGATAAACGTGGTGTAGTAGGGAAAACAATGTTTTACAAGAAGCCAAGGCTGGGGAGCTGAGCTCTCTGAGGGCCTTAGGACTGGGAGTTGGGTCCAAGTGCTGCTTTAGGGCCTGAGCAGCCTGGGGTCACAGAGCTTTGCCTGTGACCAGGTTAATGGCCGGACTCTGGAGCTACATGTCTAGGCTCAGATTCTGCCTGCTGCTTATTAGTTGTGTGCATTTGGACAAACTAATCACTTTGCATCCCCTCATCTGTAACATGGGCTTGATCCTAGTACATTTGTCAAGTATATCTTAGCTGCTTTTCTTCTTATTCTTATGCCCCTGCTAAGAGACTCAGCAACCTTATCTGTATCTATGTGCATATCTGTCTTTATATCTCCTAAGACTTTTCTCTGGCTAATGCTTGACAATTTTAACCTCATTATTCCAATCTTTTTCTTTTTCTTTCTTTCTTTTTTTTTTTTTTGGCGGTACGCGGGCCTCTCACTGTTGTGGCCTCTTCCGTTGCGGAGCACAGGCTCTGGATGCGCAGGCTCAGCGGCCATGGCTCACGGGCCCAGCCGCTCCGTGGCATGTGGGATCCTCCCGGACCGGGTCATGAACCCGTGTCCCCTGCATAGGCAGGCAGACTCTCAATCACTGCGCCACCAGGGAAGCCCCAGAAGGGGGTCTTTAAAGAGTTCTTTTCCTTAAAGCATTTAAAAATTTTTAATTTTCTCATTATGGAAAATTTCAAACTTAAAATTGTACAATAAATCCCTATGTATTGTACACGTTAGTAGAGAACACCCACGTGTATGGTTACTCTGAAATACAATTCATCCAGGAAAGGCAGGATTCTTTCCCCTGTACCCCTATTTTAGTGTTTATCACTTGTCAAAGAAGCTGTAAGACAAACTTAATGCTAACACATTAGGACCTTTGAAGGTTAAGCAGAAATGTAAAAGAGTCAAGGCTTTTACATTTTAACTCAATGGGAAAATAACAATTTACCAAATTATGAATGATTACCACCTTTTTTAAAAGCATGATTACTGATATGTGTGTACCAGGAATATGCAGGGATGTAGTCCAAAGAAGATACAAAGGGGAAGTTTTCTGAGGAACCTCACCTTAGTTGAAGTTAGGCACAGAAAGTGATTTGGGCACATGAAACAGGGAGCCAGGTGAATTTCTTTCTCTGTCTTGTTTGCAGCCATCAGCAGGTGAGGACCCAACCAGAGCCTTTCACCTCGGTATGTCGTCCTCAACGGGACGTGTGCATCTCATCCTCAAATGGCTATCAGGTACTTGGTTTTTACTTTTTAGTGGGTGAATTGTTTAAAGATGGGACAAAGTCCTTTGCTACAAATGTGTGTATTTGAATGAATGACTGAGTGAAGGAGTGAGTGAATCGCTTCTGCAAAACCCTTGAATCAAGATTCAGAGGCTGACATCTAAATGGTGATTGTGTCATGTGCCACTTTCCCAGAGAACAAGTCTTCTCCAGGGCACGTCATTGTTTCCAGAGTCCAGGCATACACTATCTCCTTGGGATAGATCCTCACAACAAACTTGTAACATAGATATTCGATTCCCTACCTTACAGACGAGAAAACTGGAACTCACAGTAAAAGCGACTTGTCGTTAGTTGGAGTTAACAAACAAGTTTCTATGGGAGTTGAAGTGTGCCTTACCTCATCACCTCGCCTGGTTGGGGCGAGACTCTTCCTGGATCATTTAGCCTCCACATCAGACTCCAGCTTTGGGTGCAGGCAGCTCTGCTTGGGCTCCTTGGGTACCTCCAGTGCCTCTGCCCCTGCACTGGCCTTAGGCAGGGAACTCACCAGGTCATTGGACTAACTAAGTCACACACCTGGGGATGGGGTGGGGACGCTCCGTTTGCCTTCAGGCATAATGCTCTGTTAGCCTGCAGTCAGCCTGAACAGACGGGCTCCATGCCATCTAGCTCATCACTGGAATGGACTGCCAGATGTGGAAAGCCTAAGCTGGCTTATCCCATCTGCTGTCAGAGGCCTGGCAAGGATACTCCATGGCACAGGCAGCCATACATATGGACATATCATGCCTTAAATGTTTCCTGTTTCACACTCATATATTTTTAAATTTTTTTAGATGTTTGAGATCAATGGCTCTCTGGAATATGCCAAAGTGAGTGAGCATTTTAAAGCTTCCATGAAAAATTTCAAGATTGAAAAGATAAGGAAGATCCAGAACGCAAAGCTCTTGAAGGCTTTTGAAAGGTTGGTGGCCAGATTATCAGGTGTCTTGACATAAAGTTTGAAAGGATTAGTGAAGATCTATCTTTTAAGATTTATATTCACTGGTTCATTTTAGTAGTCAACAGTTTCTTCAATCTCTAGTTGTGTTTTCATTGTGTCCACTCAAGCTTCTCTCTTTCAGCTTTAGCTTTACAATTAAATGCTTTCATGTGTCTATCATTTAAAAGTTTTCATATATTTATTTTTTACAGCTGTTGCCTTAATGTTAGTAGCTCCATTCTGAAAGCTAGCAGAATAAAATTTTAAGATGATTAGACTTTAGTTGGGATTAATGTTATTAACGAGTGGAGGAGGAATGTTCCCGATACTAAGTCTCACATTTCTTATATTAGGAAGAAAAAGGAGATGAAGAGAGATGAGAAAATCCTATTTTGTGCAGTGAGACGCACCCATGTAGAGTCTATCTGTGCGAATAATTTTGACTGGGTCATACATGGAATTCGTGACACCAAATATGGGAAAGGTTTGTATGGGAGAGAGAAGCCGAACTAGTAGAACCATCGCTCAGGCTCTACACATGCTCTGGTTATGAGGTATCTGTAATTATTTTGTATTAACCAGCACATCCAGGCTTTTACAGTCATGGAGAGAAAATAAGCTCATGTTAACCTGAAATGTCCAAAGTAGAGTGGGAAATTGCCGTGGGACTTGATTACTGCACCTTAGCCCTGCTTTTCCCTCCTGTCATTTTTGTTTTGCGGGAAGGGCAGGGCGGGGAAACCAAGGCATCTCATACATCTTGCAAGGTACTCCCCCTTGTTGATGACTTTGTCTACCATTGCTACTCAGTACCGGCCATGGCTCTTCCTGACCTATGCCCATCCTACTGCCACTGCTAGGTTCTAATCAAAGATGGGAGATGAGGCCTCTCCCATCTCGGGCCACACCGGTGGTCACACAAAATCTTTTCAGCTCTTTCTTTTTGTTCCTAAATTCCTTCATGCAACTCAAAAACCCAAAACCCAAAACCCAGCCAAACAAAAACCAAAGAATCACTCATCTTTTTTTCTTTCTTTAAAAAAATTTTTTTTGGGGCTTTCCTGGTGGCGCAGTGGTTGAGAGTCCGCCTGCCAATGCAGGAGACACAGGTTCGTGCCCTGGTCCAGGAAGATCCCACATGCCACACAGCGGCTAGGCTTGTGAGCCATGGCCGCTGAGCCTACGCGTCCGGAGCCTGTGCTCTGCAACGGGAGAGGCCACAGCAGTGAGAGGCCCATGTACCGCAAAACAAAACAAAACAAAACATTTTTTTTGGCTGTGTTGGGTCTTCGTTGCTGTGCGCGGGCTTTCTCTAGTTGCAGCGAGTGGGGGCTACTCTTTGTTGTGGTGCACGGGCTTCTCATTGTGGTGGCTTCTCTTGTTGCAGAGCATAGCCTCTAGGCGCATGGGCTTCAATGGTGGCAGCATGTGGGCTCAGTAGTTGTGGCTCGCAGGCTTAGTTGCTCCTTGGCACGTGGGATCTTCCTGGACCAGGGATCGAACCCATGTCACTTTCACTGGCAGGCAGATTCTTAACCATTGCGACACCAGGCAAGTCCAAGAATCACTCATCTTAAGGGAACAAGTAATAGTTTATCACATTTTCAAAGGGGGCTCAACTCATATAACTAAGATTAAATTCAGTGCCCCCCCCACCCAAAAGCAAGAAGCCAATCAGTCAGTGAACAGATATTTTTGAGTGCCTTCTATGTGCTACATGCTGGGGACACAGTGGCAAACAAGTTAGACATGCTCCCCCCCCCCACCATTATTTCACGTAATTTAATGATTGCAAATGTTCAGCTGCTGTAGATGAAAAGAACAGGCCCTGTGGACACCTGAACAGGTTGGAGAGGTACTCCTAAGAACAGGTGGGGTTCACCAGCCTCAAAGAGTCAGGAATAATTGGTCCAAGACATGGCCACGCAATAGACTTGACCCCAGGGCAGGGGAAGCTAATGAAGGGTTTTAAGCTGGGGAATGACTAGATGAGCATTTCTTAAGTTTCTTAAGTTTAAACACGTCACTAAAACCTACTGAGAAATGTTTGGAGATAGCGGAGTAACCATCTTGAGTGAAATATAAGAGGTGTGACATTTAAACCCATCAGTTTCTCATGAGTCTCTCTTTTTTTTTTTTTTTTTTTTT